GGGAAAGGGGGTTTTGAAGATATAAGGTGTTTGGGGTTTCAGTCAATATGAAACAAAATCCTGGCACTGGGCAGATGGGCAGATGGTTGTTAACAGCAGACAGGAGGTGCCCTGTCTGTTTATCTTAGCTAGCCTAGGGGATAAGACGGATAGGGGAAATAACCTCAGGATAAACAAGGCACCTTTTCTTTTGCTAATCAGCTCTGCTTGAGCAGCTTCATCCACAGCAGCACAGGCAGCACAGCGCAGAGGTCTATAGCTCTATATACCTGTTTATCTCATTTGGTTCTTCCTGCGAAAGCAGCTTTCTGCTATAGTACTAAATTGGGGGGCATTTTTGCCCTGAATGCCTAATCTTGCTTACCTCATATACCTTTGTATTGGGAGCCTTTGCCCCTCCCTCTCTATTCTGGGGGCCCTGGCCCCTCCCTATTTTATTCTGGAGCCTTTGCCCCTCCCTATTTTATTCTGGGGTCTTATCTTGTTTACCCAAGCTTGAGTGTGAGCATCCTATGGCTTTGTAATTCTTTATGCCTCGTTAACCCATTGGTATAAGCCCTGGGAATTTCTAAACTTATTCCCCACAGGTCATGATCTTGTGGTTGTGAGAGGGAGCCCTGGCTCTGGCTCCATGCTGAGCCTCTGTGCCCCTTCCCGTCTCCCCCTCATGCACACATGCAAGCACACGTTCTCTCTCAAAAAAAATTTTTTTTTTAAAGAGAGGATTACAGGGGCGCCTGGGTGGCTCAGTAGGTTAAGCGTCTGACTTCAGTTCAGTTCATGATCTCATGGTTTAGGAGTTTGAGCCCTAAATTGGGCTTTGTGCTGACAGCTCAGAGCCTGGAGCCTGCTTCAGATTCTGTCTCTATCTCTCTGAGCCCCCCACCTCTCAAATATAAATATTAAATAAAGAGGATTACAAAAGGCATTAATACTAAGAATTGGAGATCAATGTAGGACATCATATGTGTTTATGTAGGACAACTATGTTTTTGAAAAGGGACATATGTATATGCATGAGATTAATGTCATTTAAAGTATGGGAGGCTATGGTTTTAACATTTATGTAGGCATATTTGTATTAGATTATAATTGACTACGTGATTGTATTTTTTTTAAGGGATTGAGGAATTTAAAATACGAGAAGGGATAGATGGAGGCTCAGTGTCTTTCTGTTCACCTTTAGGTTAAAAATACCTATCTTTACTATATTTGTTGTCTTTAAAATATTAATATCAATGCAAATTAAAAATAGTTGTCAGTGGGGCGCCTGGGTGGCGCAGTCGGTTAAGCGTCCGACTTCAGCCAGGTCACCATCTCGCGGTCCGTGAGTTCGAGCCCCGTGTCAGGCTCTGGGCTGATGGCTCAGAGCCTGGAGCCTGTTTCCGATTCTGTCTCCCTCTCTCTCTGCCCCTCCCCCATTCATGCTCTGTCTCTCTCTGTCCCAAAAATAAATAAACGTTGAAAAAAAAAATTAAAAAAAATAATAAAAATAAAAATAGTTGTCAGTAAACTTAAGGTTGTACATGATATTATCTTGACAAGAGCTGAAAACTAATCACTTCTCACAATGGGTGTCTGAAAAATAAATAAATAAATAAAAGAAAATTGAACTCAAGAATCTCATTATATAAACTGAATCTATGTTAAGTGACCCTCAATGCAGTGCCCTGATAAAGTTCTTATTTAGGGAGAAGAAAGAAAAAGGTAAATAAGGAAGAAGAAAATAAGAAAATAAGAGAGATTGAATAATTCATTCGTGACTGATTCAGGGACCTAAGAAAAGAGTTCTGACTATCTTACCACTTTGGAGCAGTAAACAGAAGAGTTGAAAGAATAATGAGGTAATTTTAGAGCATTTTACTTTCTTCCCAGGTTTTTTTTTTTTTTTATTATTTGACAATACTCTCATGGATATGAGTTTTTCATATAAAAGGAGATAAAATGAAAGATACCTTTGGGGAAAATATTTAGTGGTTTGAAGCAAAATTATTAGTGAAAATGAGAATATCAGACTGACAAAAGAAAAGCCTCAGGAACTATTCATATAGATTTGGATAATTGTTTTGATTTCTTTAAAGAAGTTTTGCAAAGCATTGTCTAAAAGACGTTAAATTAAGCAGAAAAAAGACATTCATCATTCAGAACATATAAAGTAGAAATTGGAAACTATTAGGTTGTCTCTTTAATTGAGAGTAGAAGTACATCTTTGTATTGAATATTTCAGTTGAAATAAAACTTTTTTATAACTTCCACTGAAATATAGCCAAAGAATCAATTCAACTAGAGCAAAAATGACAATAACCTTATCTGGTTTCTCTGATAAGAGAATCTTAAAAGAAAAATTTCAAACTCAGGAATGGACAAAAAACTGGAAGAGAAATATCCTGTTCTGGTCCACTTTTTTGTGATCAATAGTTTGGAATGTTAGGTCATCATGACAGTGAGCATTCAAAAGCCTATCAAATGTTAGATTGCATCATTTTTAGAGTGTGATGTATTTTGCTTAATAAGAGAAAAAGATGCAATAACCTGTTTTATGGTTGTTTGCCTTTTCTCTATATTATCAATAGACTAAACCTCAGACAGAAGTAGAAAGTATTTGAGGCTGCCTGCTAAAATGTCTAGAAGCAGAGGTGACATAGGAACAGCAGGGTTAAGGAGAGAGAGGAGTTTTATTTTATACTAGAAGATCACTAATGAGATTAAGGCAAAATGGAGAGGTAAACTTATAGCTGTAGGAAGGCCAGGGTTATAAATCTAGAAAGACAGAATTGTGGAATGGGTTATGATTTAGTTATATAATCCATGTGAGAGTAAATTACCAAAGGACTTACCATTTGCGCAAAGATCAAGGTTAGAAAGAGAAGCAATAGGATAATTGAGGAAACTAATTCTCAAATATTATATTTGCAGTCATATATTCATTTAACAGAGTACAATCTGTAGGGTCATAGCACAGTCAAAATGAAGGAATTCTATATAGTACTAGAATTTCATTCAAAAGGATATAGAAATTTGACAACACAATTAATAAATTGCTCACATGTAGGTGTTTGTATTTGCATGTGTGTAAAATTCTGTTCTCCAAAATCTCACTCTTGAAAATTCATTTGTTTTTAAGCACACATTTAAGAAAGTATAAAAACTGACTATAAACCAGAGCAGTAAAAGGTCCCTCCAAATACCAATAAATTGATACAATACATACCACATTCTTTACCACAAAGCAATACAATTATAAATCAGAACACAATTATGAATCATAATCTTCCATTTGTTGGAAATCAAAATTTAAAACAATACTTTTAGAAGTTGCCCATGAATCAAAGAAAATATATTTATGAAAAATATGAAATGCAATTGAAAACACAAAAATAAAACATACGCATGCTTATAAGTTCAGTCATTATATGAGAATTATGAGAGAGAATTATAATTTAAATGTCTATCTTAAAAATAAGAATATTTAAAAATTAATGTGCTAGTTTAGAAAAAAATGACAAGATAAAGACAAGCAGAAAAATAAATAATACAAATAAGAGTAGAAATAAATGAAAAAGGAAATAAAAAATTAAAATCTTTGATTACATTAAAAGCTATATACATATGCCTATGTACAAACACAAAGTAGGAAGCAAAATAATTGATTTTCAAAGGTGTCTTAGGAACTGGGAAAATTTTGTAACAATGTCAAATGTCCAGTAAGGAATCCCTGGGAAAAATTTGTAAAATTGCAGCTTTTATAAGAACGATGCTCCTTCCTTCATCAGTCACAATTGTGAGAGCAGTGATGTTATGTGTCCTCATGATTTTACAACCAAAACAAACACAGTTCCCGGCAGATAGTAAGCTCTCAATAAAATAATCTGTTTAATTAATAAATAATGTAAAAGTCCAGTAGAACATTTAGGAGAGTCCAGTAGAAGACCCATTGGGGTGGTGTGAGTTGCTGTATTACAATTGTTTTTGACAGAGAGGATAAATATTGCTTATAATTTTGCCTTCAAAGAAAATAAAGTTATATGTTTAATTTTGGCATGTAGCCAAATTTTCAAGGGTCTCTTGACTTCAATTATAACAGTCTTTTAAAATAAGAAATGATTGGGCACCTGGGTGGCTCAGTCAGTTAAGTGTCTGACTTCATCTCAGGTCATGATCTTGCAGTCTGCGAGTTCAAGCCCCTGGTCGGGCTCTGTGTTAACATCTTGGAGCCTGGAACCTTCAGATTCTATGTGTGTGTCTCTCTCTCTGCCCCTCCCCTGCTCATACTCTGTCTCTGTCTCTCTCTCAAAAATAAAGATTAAAAAATTTTTTTTAAATAAGAAAGGATCTATAACATTATATCATATTTATATAATTAATTTATAATTATAAGTAAAATACAACATTTGGATAGGTTAAGAATTTATAATCAGTGTAATTTCACACTTATGTCTTTGCAATTCTCTTATTCTTGTCATTTTTTTGCCCCTTGCTCCTTGTATATATACCGATTTATGCTTAGATGCACGTGATCTAGTTTGAACGTAGGCTACTAAACTAGGTTTGAATAACAAAAGATCTGCATAAGCTACTAAACTAGGTTTGAGTAACAGCTAATGTAATTCCATGTAATATGAACATTAACTTAATAAATTAAATTATGATGATAGAGGTGATATAAGGTCCTTACATGGAAATCTACACAGGTGTAATTAAAAAAACCACATTACAGAAACTCTCACACACCACAAGAAAGCACATAGATCTTGAGCTGACATTAAATTTTCAGGTATTTTTTTCCAGTATAAACTTAGACTTCATTAAGGCTAAATTTACACAAAGGCAATTATTGAATGTATGACATTCATCTGATAGAGCTTCAGGGTTTAATAGACATGTGGCTTTCCACTGACAAAACGAGACGTTATCACATAGGTTTTCTAACTCAAGCATGGATTGATATAAGCTGTTAATTGTATTGATTACACACAATTCGTAAGATTTTTCTGATCTACTTTACTTTTTCTCTTATAGCTCAGAGGTCATTTTTTTTCCTCCCACTAAACAATGATTTTTCTGTAAGTTGTTCAGCAAAGGATCAAGAGATATAACTGAACAAGCTTTGTGTCCTGGAGTGGAAGACTACAGTGAAAGTGTCACCAATAAGATAGAATTTTAAGTACACATTGGCTATGGTCTGAAATTTTGTGTCCCCCAAATTCATATGTGGAAATACTAATGCCAATATAATGGTATGGTAGGAAAGATAGGATAAAATAGGCAGAGAGAAAGGATAGGGCCTGAGGTCCCTGGGTGTGGAAAACCACATAGTTTGGAACAATGCTGGGAGTGTCTGACCACAGCAAACCCCCTCAGGCATAAGGTTTCTCTTAAAAATGTAATAGACCCCACCTACTCCCCCTCAGGTTTGCTCTTAGGAATTTGTCAAAAGACCAAAATATGGCCATACACCACCCCTCATACAATGGAAATGAGCCAATCAAGAATGTACAGCCCAGCACCTAGAGCTATCAAGCCAATAAGGGTAAAACCTGAGAAGGAACAAGGAGGAAGGGAAGGGGGAGGGATGACCAGAACCTTATAAAACAAGGACCCTTGCCTCTAGTCCTCACGCATTCACTTTCAAATGTCCCCTCTCTGTAAAGAGAACCTTCCTACTATTCTTCCTTTCTAATCTTATATTCTAATAAACTTTTGCCTGCTGCTCATTTTGTGAGGTGAAGCCCTCATGACTGAGATTAATGCTCTTATAAAAGAAGCCCCACAGAACTCCCTAGCCCCATTCTGCCATGTGAGGACATAACTCAAAAGTCTGAGATCCAGAAAAAAGCCCTCACCTGACAGCTGGCATCCTGATCTTAGACCTCCGACCTCCAGACGTGTGAAAAATGAATTTATGTTGTTTATATGCCAGTCTGAGGTATTTTGTTGTAGCACACTCAATGACCAAGACAACATTTGAGTAAACATGTGTCTTCATATTTTCATTTCCTGACTTGGGGGATTGACAAATATTTTCAGCACATTATCTATAATATATCTGTCAATTAGAAAATAAAGAAACTGAAGAAATAAAGGGAAGGGAAACTTGATGAACACTGATAAAAATTAGTAAAGCAGACAGTAAAACATTTGACCATAGGATATAAAATCCAGTTTGTTTATATTCTGTACATTTTCAATATATAGAAATTTCCATCTAGAAATACAACCTAGTGTCTACAATACAACACATCCTACAATACAACCTAGTGTCTTAAAAATGAGAGTTGATTACTACATGTAGAAATAAATTTCTGCTCTTATCAAAGAGTTATTAATTTCAATCAGTCAAACTTTATATAACCTGGGCAATGGATATATATGAGTTAAGAGATAAATAAATAAACTTGGAAGACACTCAAGAGCTATAGTTTGCATCGTGGAAGAAAAAGCACAAATAACTTCATGCATTTAAAGTTAACATTACTAATAATAAAACCAAACCATTTATAATACTTGCTTCCATAGAAGGATGATTTAATTATTAGATTTTATAAGGAGGTGATATCTCATTCTCATATTTAACTATGTGTCTGGCAGACTCTTTACAACAAAAGGCAGAGTGCTGATTGAAATAATGAAGTTTTATCTACTGAGGAGTGAAAAATAAATGCAAACTAAAAGTAGTTTATCTTGGGGTTCCTGGGTAACTCAGTGAGGTAAGTGTCTGAGTTAAGTGTCTGACTTTAGCTCAGGTCATGATCTCAGGGTTCTTGGGTTCAAGAACCCAAACTGTCTGTGCTGACAGCTCAGAGCCTGGAGCCTGCTTCAGATTCTGTATCCCCCTCTCTTGCCTGTCCCTCCCCTGCTCATGCCCCATCTCTCTCTGTTTCTCAAAAATGAATAAACATTAAAAAAATTAAATAAAAGTAGTTTATCTTACAATCAAAGGATTTATAAATGGGAACTGTAAAATATTTTCCTTGAGTTCATAAAAAAAGTTATTTGCTTAGAAATTCTAGCCACATTAATCTTGATAAATTTCTTACTAAGCTAACTTTCTAAGATTTTTATTGGGAAAAAAAAATAGATGTAGGGTTTAGCCTTACTTTGCTCAATAGAATATGGATGGAAGTGATAGTGTGTAATTTCCTTCAGAGAATCCTATGTTCCCCTTGACTGATCTTTTGCTCCTGTCACAATGATGAGAAGGGCATGCATTGTGTAATCTGATAGATGAAGGTGGGTCAGTGACCTGTCAGCTCACCCAGACCCAGCCTACAGCTTATTATAATCAAGTCTACCTCTGCTCAATCTAGAGCAGCTACATTTAGCTGACCTGAAGAAGAGTGACCAGGGGCACCTGGGTGGCTCAGTCAGTTAAGCGTCTGACTCCAGCTCAGGTCATGATCTTGCGGTTTGTGAGTTCGAGCCCAGCATCAGGCTCTGTGCTAACAGCTCACAGCCTGGAGCCTGCTTCAGGTTCTGTGTCTTCCTCTCCCTCTGCTCCTCCCATGCTCATGCTCTGCCTTTCTCTCTCAATAATAAATAAATGTTAAAAAAAAAATTTTTAAAGAAAAATAACCAAATTAATTTTTTGTTTGTTTTGTTTTAAACCACTGAGATTCAGGATGATTTCCTACATAGCACCATTGTTTCAGGAGGTATGATACACATGGATGAAAAGAAAATATTAACATTAGTGACTTCTCTGCAGTTTATTATATATTGCACATTTTCTATAATGAGCATACATAATTTTTAAACAAGGAAAAATCTGTTAAACTAAATCATTAAATAGAAATTAGTTGTAAATTAAGGCTTTAGGTCAAAAAATAATTAAACTCATTCTCTAAAAGTACCTAATAATGATTACTAAAATTTGCATATACAATGTATGGTATGTGTGAGTTTAGAGTTTATATTCCCTGAGAAATCTTATTTAATGCTAAATTTTTATACTTCTTAGATTTAATCTCTCAATCCTTAAAAGAAAGATAACATTGGTATCTATCTCTTCTCCTTATCTCACCAAAAAGATTTCCTCCGGGGATTCCAACAATATGGATAGTGATAATTTAATGTATTTAATCCATCACCTGATCTCATGTTGTCAAGATGGCACAAAAAGCACCATTTTCTTATGCTCCAATATGATGCTTTGTTATTGTACAATTATTTTTAATTCAAATATATATTTTAAAAATTTTTTAAGTAATCTCTACACCCTACATGGGGTTCCAACTCACAATGTCTGAGATCGAGTCTCATGCTCTACCAACTGAGCCATTCCCTAATTTCAATATTTTTCAACTTTTTCTTCAAAACCTTTAACAAGTTTATGCACTTAGATAATCTGTGTAGCTGCAGCCCTTTCCCCATCATTTTTCTTGGAACTTGACCCTCAGCTTCTCTCAAAAGTAAACCTCTGTGCTTTGGAGGGTATGATTGGATTGGGCTGCTAAGTCTACATTAACTTGCTATTTTCTGTTATTTCTTCTTGATGTATCAGAGTCACAATCTCCTGTGTCTCCTATTTTTTTTCTTTAAGCCAACATTATATATTCTTTAATATATATTGTTTAATATATATTCTTTAATATTCTTTAATGTTGACTCAAAGGGCATAATACAAAGCTCATATGATCAATAGTTTACAAGCACATTTAAAATACCAAATATATTGGACATTATGTACTTGCTTGGATATGGCATAGTCAGTAGAAGTATATGAGATTTGTATTCAAGTCAGCCTGAATCTAAATTGTTGTTATATCCTTAGTGATCTGCATGAGGCTGGGCAACATATTAAGCTTATTGGACTTCAGTATCCTTATCTATAAAATCGAGTTTTAAAATAGCTCAGAGCTTTATTGTGTCTATTTTCACGAATAATTTTAAGTGGCCTGGCATATAGTAAGTACTACTCATTTTTTTTAAGGTCTTCATGTCAGTAGGGGGAACTGAAAGAAAAAAATGGAGAAATAATATAGAGCATATAATTTTACAGTTACAAGACACAGAGAGAATCTGTTCCAACCCCTTCATTTTATAGATGGCTAAATTGAGGTCAAGGGAGATTTAGTGTTTTGCCTGAAATCTTTCAAGAAGAGAGTGACAGGAGGAGGATTATTTCTTAATAATTATATAATAAATCTAAGGGCCAAAAACGGCACTTCGAAGTGTTTGCTTTTCTCTGGGTACAGGAGGACCATCTATGTTAGCAAGGCTGTGTTTTTGTATCATTTAATATTATCCCCAAAGCATTTAAACGTATTATAGACAACTATTACATTATTCAGTATTTCTAAAGTACCCCAGTTTTTTATATCTCCCTTAAATCTCCTTTAAAAGTCTGTTTTGCCCAGTGACTGTTATGCAAAAGAAAAAAAAAAAGTACAAACTAAGTCCAAATTATTGAAAACCTCTTGCTTCAGCATTAGCTTTTGAGACTATCCTCATCCCTTTTCTAAATCAGTTTAGCCCATCTAGATCACTACAAGGGTCAGATGACACTTGAGATAATGCACTACCATTTTTATTTATTCTCCAGAAAACAAGACTGGAGATCAGATTTTGATTTTGAAGAAAAAGTCATAATGGATAGTAATTATTTCTAATCCTGAGTGCAATGAATTTGATAAAATTGGAAACTCCTTGGGGTAAATAAAATTTAACTTCACCAAGCACGCATTCTTTAATGCTTCTTACACTATGGACTCTGGGAGGACTTGGAATTCTTGCTCACATGTGGGTTTATATTTGCCTGGGTCGTGTATTTCCTAGTCTTAACTGAAACCATAGAGACAACTACTCCTGTCACATTTTCTCCCCAGACAGAATCCAGGATTACTAAAAATCTCATAAGTCATCTTGTTTTTGAAAGATTTAGAGCAAGATTTTCTGACCAGATAAGTTGGATAAGTTAGCTCCAGATCTCTATCTGAAATGAACTCCTGTACCATTTAAGGTTTATCATGGGCAATACCATCAAAAAGTAGCACACACAGCTTACTTTCATTGGCAGGAAAGGGCTTTGGCAGGCTGCCTGAAGAGAAAATACCTGCAATTCAGAGAATTATGATGACTTTTTAAAAAACGTTCATACCTTTTCAAGGTTTCTACTGAATCAGGGTCATTTAGTTCTACTTTCCACTTAATTGACTTTGACCTTCCCATATGAACCTTGATACCAAAAAACCC